GGTCCAACCTGTCAGCTGCCGGTGACCACCAGGGGCAACTCTGGGCTGGCCTACCCGTACCTAGGACAATCTGAGTGTGCCCTGAGAAAGAGATATGTGCAGCTCCTATCGGGATTTGTCGGCACATTCGGGCGGTGTTGCTGGTTTAGTTTTACATTGTCGAAATGTCTTATAACCGGGATTCCGAGTCTGATCGGGTCTTCCCGCTAGAAGGTCTATTCCTTCGTTGACCGTGAGAGCTTGTGATGGGCTAAGTTGGGACACCCCTGCAGGGATTTGAACTTTTGAAAGCCGTGCCCGCGGTTATGGGCAGATGGGAATTTGTTAACGTCCGGTTGTAGATAACTTGAACCTTAACTTAATTAAAATGAGTCAACTGCGTGTGTAACCGTGATGGTCTGTTTCCGGCGGAGTCCGGGAAGCGAACACGGTGTTGGAGTTATGTTTGACGTAGGTTGTTCTAGGATCACTTCTTGATCATAGTTTATCGATCGTGCTTTGCCTTCTCTTCTCGCTCTCTTTTACGTATGTTAGCCACCATATATGCTAGTCGCTTGCTGCAGCTCCACCTCATACCTTTTACCTTACCCATAAGCTTAAATAGTCTTGATCGCGAGGGTGCGAGATTGCTGAGTCCCCGTGGCTCACAGATACTTCCAAAACCAGTTTGCAGGTGCCGTTGAGTCCGTGCAGATGACGCAACCAAGCTCAGGAGGAGCTCGATGAAGATCTTGTCCTTTGTGTTGTTTCGTTCTAGTTGATTAGTGGTGGAGCCCAGTTGGGGTCGATCGGGGACCTTGTCGCATTTGGGGTTATTCTTTTATTTTGGTTCCATAGTCGGACCTTGATTGTATTTGGTTGATGTAATGCTTTATTCATGTAATTGTGTGAAGTGGCGATTGTAAGCCAACTATGTATCTCTTTTCCCTTATTGTATTACATGGGTTGTATGAAGATTACCTCACTTGCGACATTGCTTTCAATGCGATTATGCCTCTAAGTCGTGCTTCGACACGTGGGAGATATAGCCGCATCGAGGGCGTTACAAAGGCGGTAGCCCTTTGTGCCATTTGTCGATGTAGCCGAGAGCATAGGGTGGTGTAGCCATGGTCGAGGTAGTCGTGCAAAGAATGTCGTGGTTGATGTCAAGTTGGGGTAGCCGGTGTTGAGGAAGTCACCGTGGAGCCGTGGGCGCAAGGGGGCGCCGAGTTAGCATGGGCGCAGTGGTGTCGAAGTAATGGTGCGCCGGAAAGGAGATGTTGTTGACGACGCGTCGTGGCGGGTTTGCCAAGCCCGGGGACACATCGTAGACGAAGGCACGCGGCGGTGTTGCCAACACCGGGCACGCGGAGACTAGGACCTGCATGAGCTGTACGTCATGTCGAAGAAGTTGGAGAGGCCAGCTAAGAAGAAGTCGACGATGATTGCGGCATCCATCGGCGCGGGGCCGATGTCACCAACGGTGGTCGGAGTAGACGAAGTGGTCGGGGTAGATGACGGCGACGCTGGCGACGGGCTGGTGCTGACGAAGACGAAGGAGGTGGACGGGCGGCGGCTACGTGAGTAGTGGTGGCGGCGACCAAAGAAGAGCGGTGGCGGCAGCTAGGTTAGGAGCGCGGTGGCGGTGCTCGAAGTAGGCGAAGAACCAGACAGCATGACGGAGACCGGCGCGGACAGTGGCATTCCCGCGCCAAGGGAGACGGCGCGACGCATACCATGGGAAGTCAACGCGCGTGGACGACGAAGTGGACCGTGGGCCGCTGCGCTACGGCCCGAAGGGGCGACACAACGGCGGCGGGCAGGTCGGGGTGATGGCGGGAAGACCTCGGGGCCGCGGCAGGGACCGCGGGCCGCGGCGCAACAGCACGAAGGGACGACGCGACGGAGGAGCGCGGGTCGGTGCAACCGCGGGGACGACCTCTGGACGGCGGCGTGGCCCGCGTGCCACGCTCGCTACGGCCCGACGAGGCGTCGCAGTGGCGGCGCGAGGGTCGGTGCTGCCACGGGGACGACCTGGAGCGGACGGCCTCTGGGCGGCGGTGGACCGCGGGTCGCGGAACTACGGCCCGATGGGGCGACGCAGCGGTGACGCGGGTCGGTGCAGTTGGGAGAAGAACCACGGGGCGACGATGTTGCGGCCCGATGGGGCGACGCAGCGGCAGCCCATTGCTCGATCGGTAGAGGGGCGCGCTGAACTCGGGACGGTCTTCATGGGGTGGCAGGGCGGCTATGATTGGCCGCAGCATGGCGCGAGGCCGCCGGGTCGGGGTGATGCGGGAGTCCCGGTCGGAGCAGGGCGGTGACAGCCGGCATAGATCGACGAATAGGCCGTCACGCGAATGGCGGCGGTGAAGGGTCGCCGCATGACGTGAGGCCGCCGGGTAGGGCGACCGGCGGGAAGTCGCGCGGACGCCGCCGGATCGGGGCGACCGACGGGCAGACGCGCGAGGCTGCCTGGTCGGTGAAGAAGCCGGTCGATTGCGCCGATGTTGGAGTAGAGGCACACGGGATCAACGACGGTGGTGGGCGACGCAAACCGGATCACATAGACCGAAAAATCAAAAAGAAGGCGCCGATCAAAGCAACCGGCGAGAGAGAAAACTCGTATCAAAGGATCGAGAAAAAAAACTCTCTAGAGGAGCCGGCCAACATGGCCGGGGGACGAACCCTACATACGGGCGGCGCGGCCCCCGGCGGCGGTCATGGAGGCCGACCGCCCCGGGGGCGGCGTGCGGTTGCGGAAGCGCCGGCGGCTAGGGTTTGGATCGTGATTAGGCTGATACCATGTTAGAAGGACGAGAGAGGTTTAATGAAATTGTCGTTGTATTTGCTTGAGCCTGGTGAGCATATATATATATATATATATATATACGGTGGCGCTAAACTAAGCGGGAGCGTAAATCGCTTATTCTGCGCTCCGCCTGTGTCGCACGCACCGTTCTGCTTAATCGGCATTATTCTTCCACCTGCTAGTAAAATCTGTAGAATATTATAGTAATAGAATTAATTCGGTTACCATCTGCATGCATCGGTCACCGTCCCGCCATCATTTCTTTTTTTAGATGCATGGCCGTAACAACACATCGTAAACAATCATAAGAAATATAGTAACCCAATAATTTCAGTTACTATCTCCACCCACTAGTTCACGCACCGCCACCTTTTGTCTTTTTTACATCCATGCTAATAATGATACATAGTAATGAACCATAAGAAAGGTAGTAACATATTTAATTTGGTTACTGGCTGAAGATGCAGGTGCATGGTCCCACCACCATTTTTTTCTTTCTATATGCCTCCTTGGAATGGCATATAGTAATCAACCTTGAGAATTATAGTAGCATAGTAATTGTTCATGAAAAACTTGATAATAGAACAAATTAGGTTACTGCATGTCTACATCGTACGCTTTTATGGACTCTTGTTTCACATGGTAGGAATGGTAACCCAATTAAAACAGTTACCATCCGCATGCATTGGTCCCATCCTTTATTCTCGTTTCCCATGCTAGTAAAAAACCATGATAAATATAGTAACAGGTTTAAATGAATTACGGCCAACCTGCAATGTACTTCGTCTTGCATCCTCGATTCGCACGCTAGTAAAACGCCAGCCAAACATAGTAAATGAATTAAGTTATTTACCATATGCATGCATGTGGCTGCGCTAATTAAAGAATGACGTAACCGATTAGCAAACATGGTGCGCTCCACGGGTCGGAGCGTAGAATAAGCACAATGCGCTCGGGCTCACTTTAGCGCATCTATATATATATATATATATATATATATATATATATATATATATATATATATATGAGTATATAATCTACTTGAAATATAAGGCAAACCAGAATATTTTCCAGTCTAATCTATATTTTCTAATACAATCACATTACTCGACATAAATAGACTGCTACCCAAGCCATCCGATCAAATCATATCCAACGGCCACAAAGACGAGCGATGTGTGCGTCATTTCGGATGATGGTAAGCGTTTCCCATAAAGTTTAAGCTTTCAAGTTTTAGAAAAATCCTAATAAGTGACATACGTATGGCATAAACACATATCAATTTAAACTTTGTGACGGCAAATTTAGTGACGCGAGAGTGACAACTTTATTTTCGGATGGCAGTTTTCAGTTTTCTTTTAGTTTTTTTTCGGATGGTAATTTTAGCTGTAAAAAACATCAGGATTTGCTTCGTTTTACTATCGTCTATCTATGGTTTGGGTAAAAAAATATAGTTACCGGTGAAAAAGGCGGCCCGCGGGTCTAGCTTGGATCGATACCAGACACACACCGAAGCCGAGATCCAGGCCAGGCCAAGCACGCCGCCGCCGGCAGTCGAAAATAACACATTCCCTAGCCACGCCGTGACATGGCCACTCCAACGGCAGCCGCCGACACCGCCGCCGCCCCGCTGACTCCAGTTGCCCCGGAGCCCGCGGCGAAGTTCTCTCTTGCCTCTTCTGATATGGCTGCTCCGACCGCAGCAGCCGACACCTCCGCCCCGCCGCCGCCTGCTCCAGTCCCTCCGACCGCAGCCGCCGACACCTCCGCGCCGCCGCCGCCAGCTCCATCCCCTCCGACCGCAGGAGCCGACACCGCCGCTCCGCCACCACCTCCTCCTCCAACAACGACGGAGCCTGCGGCCAAGGTCTCTCATAGTCCTTACCACATGGCCGCCCCGACGGCAACCGCCGAGACCGTCGGTCGGCCAATTCCTCCTCCTCCAGCCCCGGAAATCGCGGCCAAGGTCTCCCATTTCCCCCCTCCTTTTCCTCCTCAGCCCGATGCGCCGGCGCCCAAGAGGCGGAAGCTGGAGGAGGCGGGGTTCCACACCTCCGCCTACTACAAGATCCGGGCCACTGTTGCCGACCTCCGCCTCCGCTTCGTCCAGGTCCGCACTCTCTCATGCCACACTGTAATATTTTTCACAATACTAGTCAGTTGCTATGCATTGTGGAAATGGCTAGCTAGTTGTTCTCTTAACCTCACTACCTCAGGAAAACTTGGTTGTTGGCAAATTTTAGGCTGCAAGACCGCAGGAGAAATCTACCAATCTGAACTCTCACGTGCTTATGTTTGATGAAATATTTGGTATGCATTGTTGAGCTGGTAATTTGCTCTGAACTGTTTACCTCTGTTTTAAAGGTTCACGAAGCTACTGATTTTCGGAAGAGCGATGCTGCTCGCGAGATTCTGAGAGGTATTTTTCTCTCTCTCGAACATATGCCATGTTAGAAAGGCATCAGTTATTTTAGACGACCTAGGGTACAGGAAAGAAAAATAGAGAAACAAAAGGTTCTTCGGTCATGGATCCGAATATGAACCCCTTTTCATACCATAATTTCATTCAGAAGCATCCTCAGTTATGCTTTCCACACTGCCGGCAGCAGAGGGGAGCTGTCTTAACCTGGAGAATGTTGTTAGAATAAATCCGAGGCATACCGTCGATCATCCGAGGACCAAGCAATCACACGAGCACGACACCGAGATTTGTTAACGAGGTTCACCGATATGGCTACATCCCCGGGGCCTGACTATGGGCGCTCCTCCCCATGACACCGCTACAATACCGCACCCGGTCGCCCTGGACACCGGCACATGCCGCCGGCTTCCCCTGCGTTCCGGTGCTATTATGTTGGCATAGGTTACATCATGTGTCTACCCCCGCTATATAAGAGAGGCCTAGGATACAAGTGTCCTACTAGGACACGACTCCACATCCTATGTAAACACAATACAACTCATAGTCCAACTGCAACCTACCTTGTACACAATATTCGACACAACTCTAACAAACTCCACCTTGGCGAATATTCTCGACCACCCTGAAATTGTCCATGCATCAAACTTCCATGTACATTGGACTTGAGCTTATCCCATGAGTACCGCTGCTACTCCAAAGACCCCATATGACTCCACCTGCAACTTGTAGTCCCTTCTTTTCTTGACCACGGTCAACACTCGAGCAAAATTACCTCTTTACTCTAGATTATGCTCCCAACTTCCGGAGTATCAATCCAACGCCATCACACATTGATCACTGATCTGCGTGAAAGTGAACAACTCACATATTGGGTGTCACACATAAGAGTTACCTGAACTCAACATCACCGCTCCTTTCTTGACCGTCTGTCTGAAACTTGGAAGGAATTTCACCATTGCTTGTAATCATCCCGAGTCAAATTCGCAGTTGTCTCACCACATGTATAACCACCAAGCCCCGGCCCGTCTCCATGTCCGTGCGTGCCGCACGCCTCGCCGCTATTACCGCGGCGAGCCTCCGCTGTCCCGGTCGAGTCTCAAGGGTCGCGAACCCACACCACTCAACCCCCACTGCAGAGTACCACGGATTATCACCGACCGGTGACGAGTTTCACACTTCCATCAGACCACTGGGCTCCAATCCGAACTGCATGTCACTCGCTTTTCCTGCTGAAATAGGCTTCGACTCTCTGACGTCTTACGCCGTAGCCCCTCAATCAGCACCAAGTGAAGTCTTCCGTCAGACTCCAGCTCCACCTTTAACATGACTCCATGGTAGATGATCAGTCCACCCCGGCGCCTCATCGACTTCAAGCTCCATGTATACACCACCTTGAATCAATCCCGCGCCATAGTCTTGTCTAAGCCACACAAGCCCTCGGGGCATGCGCCACGTGTTTCCACGCCTAGAAGTCGGTCACCATCAGCATTACGCTCCTATGTCGTCCTCGCCGATCCCACCACCGTCTTCTGTACCAACCGACTCGCGTCGATCCGTCAGACTGACCTGTCCGACCCAGCCGAACTTGTCCGGCTACAACCATGCTCCACCTTGCACCATGACCGCTCGCACATCTGTGCATATCTTGGATGCCCTGTGTATGCATGATTCTGCCGTGACACACTCCAGACTTCTCCAAGCCCATATGCCCGTCGCTGTCCTCACGCACACCCTGAAAGCACTCACAACAAACTTGACCCAGCAAGGAAAACTTCCGTCCAGACAAAACACTATTTTTCCTTTTCCTTGTCCCTGTTTGCTTGTAGCCTCTCTTGTGTATGCACGAAGACTTTTTTTTTGTCCAAACAAATCTCACGTAAGCTTGTTGGTGTGTTGCACATCGTATCTCCACGCGTAGACCACACTAGGCCTTGCCTGCACGCACCTGGGCAGCATCACCTCCAGGTTGATCCGTGCCGCTTCGATCGATCCACTGCTACACACGCATCTCCCCGAAACCAAATCCGATCAGCAAGACCTCCAACATACTCGTCTGTGTCTGATTGCATCCAGCTGATATCGCTGAACCACACAAGTCTCGTCGAATCATGTACGACGCCGCTAACCCTTCCAGCCGCACGCCTGCTTGGACTGCGTGACCGCGTCCTCCGGCCGGACCGCACTTGGCCCAGCTGCCAGCTGCGTTGCCGCAGGCCACGTCCTGACCTCGCCGACTCCGAGTATCTTTCAACTTGGCGTTGTTCACGCGATAGTGACGTCACGTCGTCTCTTCCAATCTCGACAGTTGATTCTTCCACGATATCTTCACCTCTAGATCAACTGAATAACCGCCTCATAACCTAGCTCATGATACCACTTGTTAGAATAAATCCGAGGCATACCGTCGATCATCCGAGGACCAAGCAATCACACCAGCACGACACCGAGATTTGTTAACGAGGTTCACCGATATGGCTACATCCCCGGGGCCTGACTATGGGCACTCCTTCCCATGACACCGCTACAATACCGCACCCGGTCGCCCTGGACACCGGCACATGCCGCCGGCTTCCCCTGCGTTCCGGTGCTATTATGTTGGCATAGGTTACATCGTGTGTTTACCCCCGCTATATAAGAGAGGCCTAGGATACAAGTGTCCTACTAGGACACGACTCCACATCCTATGTAAACACAATACAACTCATAGTCCAACTGCAACCTACCTTGTACACAATATTCGACACAACTCTAACAAATGTGGTGAAGTCCACAAGCTGAGGATTGAACCGATGAGTATTCTTTTAGTGTGGGGTGTATATAAGCACTGAAAGGAGGGGATGTACCGGATAGGTTCTGAGTAGTTTATTGGTCTGTCTATGGAGAAGTATCTATTTGGTTTGGCGCTGTTGTTCAATGGTTAGTTACTACCAGCAAATATAATTTTATGCATTTTAGAAATATATCATAAGCTTGAGAGCTAGGATAAAATATACCAATACTGTGGATGAACCATAGCTGTTACTTGCTGTCTCATGGTTTTTTGTGCCAAGCAATACTTGAAAGAGAGAATAAGGGACACTGATCTTATCCAACATAAATTCCACTTCCAAGGTGTAACAGTTGAGACTTTAGCTAATCACACTGATCTTTCTTTTGTTGGTTCTGTAATCAAGTTCTTGCGAAGCATAGTTTGTTGATCCTTTTTGCGTGCGGATCAGCTAGTTGTGCATTTGCATTTTGAGCTTGATGCAGTCTATGTTATACAATCCTGCAGATTGAAGCATATGAACTACTTATTAGCTTGTCTTTATGTCTTAGATTCTACATTCATGACTGACCTGTGAGAAATTGGGTTTATGCAGTAACATCCTTTTCATCTGACGAACCTATTATGCACCATGTCGCTCTAGATTCTTGGCGGTGTTAGTTATGCAAAAATATGTTCTTCAATACTGTAACTCATACAAAATATTGTTTCATTTCTATCCATTTTTTCCGTTAAGGAATTCATACATATCATGGTAGATGTTTACAAAACTCTCCCAGGTTGTGAAAATAACTAATTAAACTGCCAGAGGTATATCATGTTTTATTCATCATTTTATCTTTCAACTTGCTGGATCTTGACATGCATTGCCTTTTTGTGATTCAGAGATAAAGACAGTTATGGAACTCTCCAAGAAAATGAGGCTTGATCTCGGCGTCTCTTCTGAACCCATGAAACCGTCAGAGAAGCCTTTAGCTGGAGCTGTGAAGGATGAGTCCGCAGAGCCAATTCCTTCTGGAGAAAGAAATCAAGTTCCTCCGACAGGTCAGCCTGCAGTTCCTCCTAATATTGCAAATGATGGTGCACCGGCCACCCAAGCCTGACAAGTGATAACTCAGCGAGTGCAGCAGAGAAAATATCAGAGGGAAAGGGAACCCTAAGCAGTGAGATGGCAAATCACCCAAAGCACCTCGTGAAAACAGTGCAAGGGTCTTATGTGGTTGGTGGATCTCCTGTTGGCTGGAATTTTCTTGTTTGGCTTGGTGGTGAAATAATGTATTGTGGGGTTGCCAAAGAGGTGTTTCGGACGCGCCAAGCTGCAAATTGAGATGTTCCCTTCAAATTGAAACTTTCTGATTTGTAATGTACTCTTTAAATTGATGGGGGTTATGATTTAGTTTTAACATCCTTATCCTTAAATTCACTAAGCTCCCTAGGGCTTGGGGCGCTCTCAGTCAATTGAGGCATCAATTCTGGCATTTGATTTTGAATTTGACTGTGGGCCTGGATACTCATTGGGGTCGATGGTTATTCTCCCCCCTTTCGTGCCTCCCACGTGGATTTACCCCTGTTGTTCTTGGCTGGGTTCCATTATCCAATAATATTTGGGTCTGACTATATCTTATCTAGATGTGAGATAATATCTAACATCTAACATGACATCACCTTCTGTTAGTAATAACTAAACGATCTCTTATATTGTTTGTTTGTCGGGAAATTATACATCGTGACCTGTGGCGGGGCGCATCAAGCTGTGATTTGTCTTCGCGCACTGTGGCATTTTGTGTGTGCCTTGTACCACTACTGCATGCATGTGTCGTTGTCCAGCTACAGTGAGCAGTGTGCTACAACGCTGACTAGACTAGTTTGCCAAATTTACCTTTCGCTACGATAGCTCATCAGCTATTTTTTTCTGCTTGCTTGTTAGGCATTACTACAGTGAGCAGTGTCCCTTTTCTTTTTCTTTTGTGATCGTACCTAGATAGGTCTAGCTTTTCTCATTTTGGTTGTCAACATCTCCCACGAAAAGCAGAGATATAGTAAGGCCTATTTCTACAACACCTCACACAGAGAACAAATCGAATTAAATGGGAAAAAGTGCTAAACAACAAAATGTTAATAAATTCTCTGCATAAAAATGTTAGTATTTAAATACAAAAAATATTTTTGCAAACTTTATAAAAGCATTTGTAAATTTTAAAAAAGTCGTGAAACTTCAAATGTTCGTGAACTAAAAAAAGCTCACAAATTAATTGCTCGTCACTTGTTTAAAAAAAGATGTTCACCATGCGTTTAAAATTTTATAACACTGTTTTGAAAAAAAATCACAGAGTATTAAAACAATGTATGCTGCGCATTTAACATATGCGTAGGTCGAGTTGCAAGTCAATGGTGGAGTTGCAACTAGGATGAAACACACTACGATCCTAGTTGCGAGTCAAGGACGGACTTGCAATCTGGACAACTACACAAAATTACGATACCATTTGCGTGTCGAGGGTGGACTTGCAACTGGGACAACAACAAAAAACAAGACCAGTTGCAAGTAGAGCGTGGACTTGCAACTGAGATGAAAAAACACGTGCTCAGTTGCGATACAGGGGTGGGCTTCCAACTAGGACAACTACGAGCTCATTTGTGACCCGAGGATAGACATGCAACTGGGACAACTACAAAACTACGAGCTTAGTTGCGAGTCGATGGTCGGCTTGCAACTGGGGCCTCCAGCAAAACACACACACCCTTAGTTGTTGAGTCAATGGTTGGCCTGCAAATGAGGGGCCCTCGACAAAACACACGCGCCCTTGGTTGTTGAGTCGATGGACCCGTAGAAAGACACTCTCCTCCCCTCCCCCCAGTCACGAGTCGATGGTTGGCTTGCAACTGGGAGCCTTAGACAAACACGCACACCCTTAGTTGCGAATCAATGGTTGACATGCAACTAGGGATCTCGACAAACACACAAAT